AAAAGGGGGTAAATCCATGGGCCACGAGAAGTGTCGAGTATGGGGGTGTCGATTTAAACTTGCTTAATGCCAGCAGTATTCCTAGCTTCCTCCACAGCTGCTCTATGCTTTTTGGCCTGATTCAAGGCGTAGAGGCCGAGAGGAATCATGATAAAGAGAGTTAGGGGTACTGTAACAGCCCAGTATATCCAAAACCGGTCAGTGACCACACCGTCCATGCTCAAGGCTGCCCAGTCGAATAGAGGCATCGCGAAGAGAGCCTACGATATGTTAGTCTTGCCACTTGATGCAGGATTTCCGGGAGCGTAGCGATAAGATATCTGTTCGTCGTGTATGGCATGGGAAAGGAACCTACCGATATGAAGGTCCCCGGCAGGAAAAGTGTCGTTATGGCGGCAATAATCTTCATGGAGGAGCTATCGAGTCTGCTCGCTGCAGCCAGTTCCCTCGAGCTCTGAGCTATCTCGAGGTTCAGGGTGCTCTCTTGCTGCGAGATGAGGTTGAATAACTAGGAGTTGTGAGCTATAGTCCCCAAGTCTTTTTACCTAGGTGTGGTACTCACGACATTCTGCTGTGTTTGCATCCTCTGGCGGATTGCGCCGAACATCTCCAGGTGCTTTATATTGCTCGCTAGGAGCTCAACACGTTGTTTGAGGCATTGGCTATTTATTATACCCCTTAACTGGCGTAGACGTGTCGAATTGGTGTAGTCTTTTATGCGGTCTAGTTCCTGTAAGGTAAACTCGTTCATCATCCCCGCGCACTGGACAGCAACTTCCATGAAGGAAAAGCGGCAGTCCAACATGCCGAGGAGACGAGCCAGCCTGTGATAGTCACGCACGCCCATCTCTGCCATCGGCTCTTTTCCCCAGTCGCCATAACCCGTTTGCCTCTCCACCTCGGCAAGTCGAAGATGGATAGAACCCAATTCATTTAACAGATCGGCTGCTGTTAGCTCAACCATGACTGTCGGGATAAGTAGCGGGTGGCTGAATTCAGGGAACTGGGATTTAATGGTTTCGCAAACATTCACCACTGAGATGCGCGGCCCCAGGAGGACGTAGCCGATGGTTATGTTGGTGGTTGGGTCATACTTCAAGATAGTTGAGATGGTGCCATTATTATTCGACCGATTGTAAATAAAAACTGAAGTATGTCAGTATTAACCACCACGTTCAGCTCATAATATGCAGCTGGAGCGCCGACTGGTCGAGCGATGCGAACTCACCCGGGTATTGACCCGCTACGAAGTATCTGCCACAAGCACCCGTATTGCGAGCCGTCAAGAAGCTGTGGCTTTTGGGAATACCGAGGACACTATGGAGCTCTCCCATAGTAATATCGTCCAAGGGCATTTCCATCGCCATCTTCTGTTCACAGCAGATGAGCCGCAGACCAGCCAAAGGCTCTTTCCCATCATAGGACTTCGGTGGCGGCTGAACAAGCCAATCTGCGATAGCCTCTTTTCTAATAGCGCCGTTATCGAAGCGAGTGCGTTGTAAACTCTCATACACCCAGCATTCTATGCTCTGGGTCTCAGTCTCGTTACCATAGAGTTCCGTAGGAAAAGAGGGAACATCATTCTTAGGTGGGCTGGGCTTTGAGTAACGAGGCGGTGGTGACGGTGGTGACCAATCCATAGCGACGAAGCAAACAATAAATCTCGCTCCTGTAATCTCGAGCTAGGAAAGTTCCATGGTTAGAGTTATAATCGGTTGTGGTCTTACATTGGAATAAATAATTACCTCGGTTATAGGGTTTTATCGACACAGCCAGCCTCGTCTGTCTAGAGGGAGCTGAAGGCCCCGCAAGTGACTTGCATGCATATCTGACGTGTCCTGCCGTCGATTGGATGCCTTTGTCCTTACTCGTAATATTCGCTACATTAAATAATTCGCATCCTTGGATAAGAAGCGCTGTCGTCGTCATTATAAGAATTGGAGGATAGAGAGCGAACACGCAAGGTACTTAGAGTACTTAAATGAAGTGAGACCTCTCCCTCAAGGAATGAGTCCAGATAAGCACGATATCAGGCTTCAGGAGCAGCTAGGCTCTGAGCTAATTTCGCCGGATGAGTACGGTCGCTTCCTCGTAGTGGCGGCGAGACTAGGTTTCACAGAGCCAGTAACCGCCTTGCTGGCAAATGGCGCACATGTTGAAACGAGGGATAGCACCGGGCGGACAGCTCTCTCATGGGCTGCCGGGAACGGGCATACATCTGTTATATACAGGCTACTTGCTATACCCGGCTTAGATGTTGACGGCGAAGATGCGCGGGGAAGATCCGCGCTCTCGTGGGCAGCTGGCAACGGCCATGAGGGTGCAGTAACGCAATTATTCAATCACGGCACTAATAAAGAGTGCCCCGACGCGAATGAGCGCACAGCTCTCTCGTGGGCTGCCGCCAATGGCCATGAAGCAGTTGTGCGATCTCTACTTGATGCAGATGTCGATATGGAATTCGAAGACGCTCGGGGTCGTACGCCCCTCTCATGGGCGGCGGGAAACGGACACGAAACGACTGTACGGCTATTATTTGAAAAGGCGATCGCGCTGGAATCCATAACGGAGCCTGAAGAGACTTACAATAGGACGCCACTATACTGGGCTCTAGAATTTGAGCGTAAGGAGGAGGTTAAAACGCTTCTTGCTAAATACGGAGCCGATCCAGATCAGCTTGACTATGCCAATCAGACGCCTCTGGTTTGGGCAGCAAAGAACGGACATGCGACCATAGCTACGCTTCTACTTAAATATGGAGCGGATATAGATCTTGAAGACAGCGATGGCCGAGCTCCCCTATGGTGGGCGGCTGCAAATGGCCATGTGGAATCAGTGAAGACTCTACTTAGCGCAGGAGCAGACCCTGAGCATGAGGACAAAGACGGCGAAACCGGCCTATCACAAGCTATATATCAAGGACATGAGGTAGTGGTAAAACTATTCAGCGAAGCAAAATACGCAGAGTTTTTCGAGAATGGGGATGAGACGATTCTGTCGTGGGCAGCTAGGCGTGGATTCCCTGATGTTGTTGAAGAGCTACTCGAGAGGGGCGTTGATCCGAATGCTCTTAGCGCCGCTAAGCAATGGCCATTATCTGTAGCTGCGGCAAATGGACACGGTGCCATTGTTGACATGCTCCTCAAGAGAGGCGCCAATCTGGAGCCTAAGAAGCTAAACAGTACACAAGTCTACTACGGGATTGACTCCGCTAAAGCTAATCCGACGCCATTGGCTTGGGCGGCGATGAGCGGACATGCGAGAGTCGCAGCGCTACTAATCGAACAAGGTGCTGACCTCGAATCCGAAGACTCCAAAGCCCGAACACCGCTGGTATGGGCGGCTGCGAATGGGCACGACGAGGTCGTGGCACTGCTCATAGACAAGGGTTCGGCTCTGTTCCCCAAGCCGTGGGGAAATATTTACGAGGATGTGGGTCATACGGCTCTATACTGGGCGAGGCATAATGGGCACGGTGTAGTAGCAAGGCGCTTGGTTGGACAGTTCGTCGTGATGGATGCGAACGAAGAGTCACAAGACAGATATGGTCGCACAGCCTTGTCTTGGGCAGCTCAGTGCGGATACGAGGATCTCGTGAAGCTGCTGCTATCAATGAAGCATGTTAATATTGACTCCAGAGATAATGATGGGCGCACGCCACTCTCATGGGCAGCAGAAGGAGGAAGCCAGACAGCCGTCAAGATGCTTTTAGAGAGTGGCGCGGAAGCCGACGCAGAAGACAACCGGGGTTATACACCACTCTTGCGGGCTGCCGAGGAGGGGCACACGGCCATTGTTTGCATCCTACTCAGAGAAGGCGCCAATATCGAAAAAACCGATTGGCAAAGGATGTCGCCGTTATCTAAAGCCTCTTCAGGAGGCAGGACGGCACTCGTGAGCATCTTACTTGAGGAAGGTGCTCGGCCAGAACGGGAACCCGGAGTTACAGCACCTCTATGGTTCGCTGCAGCAAAAGGGGCTGTAGATGTGGCTGACAAGTTGCTTAAGGCGGGAGCCAGCCCGAATGCCACAGAAGTTGGGTTAACGGCGTTAGGCATCGCAGCTAGAGATGGAAATGACGGCGTAGTGCGCCTCTTGCTCGAGAATGGTGCTGATCCGAATCTGAAGACCGAAGAAGACGAGACTCCTTTGATGATAGCGGCGTCCAGTGGCACGTCAAATGGGGTGAAGATTCTGCTTGAGAGGGGTGCTCGAGTAGATTCGAGAACTTCCACGGGTCGCACGCCGTTACACGCCGCTGGTTACAATAAAGACGCCACCGTAACCAAGCTGCTCATAGAAGCAGGAGCTGAAATAGAGGCTAGAGATCAGTATATGAGAACTCCGCTGTTTTCTATGGTGTACGCAACTGAAATTGGAGTGGCTACTACACAGATGTTGTTAGAAGCTGGGGCAAACCCAAATTCCCAAGACGACGACGGATCAACGCCCCTATGCGCAGCAGCTTCGTCTCGGGACGCTGATCAGATAGTGAGGCTTCTCATCAAAGCAGGCGCCGACCCAAATCTAAGCCCCAAGTCTGGTCAAACTGCATTAATGAAAACTGTTGACCAGGTGTATCGGGCTGTTCCCATAGCGAGAGAGCTGCTCAAGGGCGGCGCGGATACAGAGGCTAGGGACAGTGAAGGCCGTACAGTATTGATACAGGCGGCAAGTAGAGGGAACATTGACCTTACAAAACTCCTCCTGGAATACAGTGCGAATTTGGAAGCGGAGGATCGAAAAGGTCGTACTGCGCTGTCTTGGGCAGCATGGTACGGACGTGACGATCTGGTGAAATTGTTGCTAGAGAATGGAGCTAAGCCGACGTTTGTGGGCCGAATGCAGTCGCGCGATGCGAGGTTTGGTAGAATAAATATATACCAGTAGAAGGGAGAAAAGGGGGAGATTTGAATACGAGATGGGTCTTAAGAAACATGGGTTATAATGGACCTTAAGAACAACCAAAACCAGAAAAGTGGATCTACACTCAAGTCCAAGCCCGACTAGCTCATCGGTAGAGCGCCTCACTAGTATTTGATCACCTACGGTTGAATTCCAACTCTCCATGCCGTTAGGTGATCATCCTGATATGAGGAGGCAACAGGTTCGATTCCTGTGTTGGGCATTGCCTTTTTCTGTTTCTTTTTTTTTTCCTTATGTTTATAGGCGAGGTAAAGGTACCCAGTACTCAACCTCTTCGAAAACAACGACTTCGGAGTTTTACTAATTACATGTACATACTATTTGTGTTACTTGCATATAGTTGGAATACCCTGTCGACATTGCCTATCCCTATAACTTTAGCTTCCTGGTTGTCTCTATTTCCCTTCCGTAGAATTTCGTTTAACAGCATTTGAGCTGACAACTGAAGGCCCCATGTCTCATTTCATATTATAGCATATGATTCCCTCCTTAATGTTGCACATCGTGCATGAAGCAGCCACTTAGTCATAAGGACAGTCTCTCACGCTTAGTAAAACTAACTGTTAATTAATACCCCGTGGAACATTGAAATCTTCTTGAACTTTTGGAACAGGTGAGTATTTCCGACAGTAGAGTTGAATATTGTCTGGGACAGCCCTTTACATAAGCAAAATTCGATTCTTGGTCATTGAATTGTGGAGTGGAGCCGCAATCATTAATGGATAATATTGAGAAATTGAGAAAAACGACACAAAAAGGGCTTGGAATTTTCTGCAGATAACATGGGGGTGTCATATCGGGAAGATTCGCTCACATCTACTACATTCAATGCCTTTTATCCCTAGTCTAGCTTCTATTCTTGACATATACGTTTTACAAAAGCTCGTTGATAAGTGATAGCTAAATCTACGATAATAAGTTCTCCCCTGTCATAGTTATCTGGCCTATCAAGGTCCAGGAGGCCCTGTCGCACGTTACAGCGAAGCAACCCCATGTCTCACCGTGTTTGTGTTTCCAGATTGTCATCATCAGCTTTGGCTGTAACCAAAGGAGAGTTGTTGCGACGCGGACGGTCTCTATATGCTCAATGATGCCCTCGAAGAACTCAAGGATCACCATTAACACCGCTAAACTCGCAGGTGGCGGTGATGACTCCATCATCTCTCATTGAGTAAAAATACCCGTGGGCCCCGGTATTTCTATGCAGCATAACCTACTGTAACGACTGCACAGGTCGTGAGACGAAGACGAGGGGTTGGTCTTATCTAGGTACATATGTGGATATGTACACTACCTACTTATCTCAGTCGATTCATATCTCATCAGTCAGGGATCAACATTTTATTACCTGACGGCTTTAGAAGAATGGGCGCGAGGATTGTTTATTATACCTTTGCGTCCCAGGTTATAAGATCTTACATGCACTGCACGGCATCGGACTTGCATACGTCCGTAATAGATCTTCGATATTGCTTACCTGATTCTTAACCACCCCCTCAACTTCTGCTCTGCATATAAGGTATATTACGTATGTACTCTATATACAGTTGCACGCTCGTGACTTTAATATAGGCAAGGCAGAGAAGTTGCCATTCATTCGCATCATCGTCGACCCTGGCATCATAAGAGATCGCCACAAGACGCGCTGTTATCCACGTACCATAGCGAACTTAAGGCATCTAGAGCAGAAGCGCAAGCATGGCGGAGAATACCCCTGTCCTCGATGAAAAGAAACCAGAACTGGGAGGCCTGGACAACGACACTGTCGCCGCCGTCGACCGCGGTATCGAAGTCAACGCTGCAGGTTATCGAGACCAGCTAAAGCGACAATACGGCCTCCTTGGAATTGTCGGCATCGCCTTGACGGTTGACAATGCCTGGGCAGCATTAGGGAGCTCGATATCAGTTTCGATTCGTAAGCAAAGCTTTATTCTAAGCCACTCGTCAAATCATCTTATAGCACCGAATTAACACGAGTTCTGTTGGTGGTAGTCAATGGAGGACCACCAGGTCTAATTTTCGGCCTGATCGTTGCAATCTTCTGGTATTCCTTCGTAGGCCTGAGTCTAGCCGAGGTATGTATGCCTCCTACCTATGTCCCCTATCAAATCCCCCCCCGTTTCGCAAGACAAATTAGAAACCAGATCAAATAGTTAACTCCCTCTAAGCTCGCTTCGTCAGTTCCTACAGCCGGTGGCGTTTATCATTGGGCAACCATTGCGGCTGGCCCAAATTGGGGGCGAGCCGTCGGCTTCTTCACTGGATGGATAAACTTCTATGGTTGGATGTTTGATCTGGCTGCCCTGGTTCAGATCACAGCCAACATCCTCGTCCAGATGTATGCGATCTACCACCAAGATACCTACGTCCCAGATGCCTGGCATGTCTATGTGACGTACGTGGGTGTGTTGTGGATTTCAACGATATTCGTCATATTCGCGAATAAGCTCATCCCATACACGCAGAACTGCGGAATGTTCTTCGTCGTCGTCGGTGGTATTGTGACGATAATAGTCATTTCGGCGATGCAGCCGAGTAACCACGCCTCAAATTATTTCGTATGGGGCTCGTTTGAAGAAAACAACTGTAAGTGTGTCCAAAATTGCCACTTACACTCTTCCACGTACTGTAGACGGTGCTTTACCCCTTAGTCCCGCTCGAGACTTTGATGCCCTTATATCCTATTTTGAACAAAAGTCGCCTGAGATTATGTGTCTAAAGCGATCGACCAAGCGTGCTAATTCCGGATTATAGTGACGGGCTGGCAGGGCGGCGTCGCCTTTCTACTTGGCGTTCTGAACGGCGCGTTCACCATTGGTACTCCTGACGCCATTACTCACATAGCGGAAGAGCTACCAAACCCAAGAAAGGACCTCCCCAGAGCTATTGGGCTTCAACTAGGATTAGGTTTTCTATACGCGTTCGTCTTTGCCATTGCACTAAGCTACGCTATCACAGATCTCTCAGCACTACAAGGCGGCATCAACACCTACCCACTTGCCGCCATTTACCAGCAAGCAACGGGTAGTTCGGGCGCAGCTTTCGGCCTCTTATTCATCTTATTAGTTAGCAGCATGTGCTGTTGTGTTGGGACGGTCTTGACTAACTCGCGCACTTACTGGGCTCTGGCTCGAGACAATGCCGTCCCGTTCTCTGGCATTTTCGGCCAAGTCAACGAAGAACTGAGCTGTCCTATTTACGCAACCTTGTTCGTCTCAGTCATCGCCACAGGCCTCGGTGCGATTCCACTCGGCAACTCGAGCGCCTTCTTAGCTCTCACGGGATCTTTTATCGTATTGACCACGGTGTCATACGCGATTCCGTTCACCGCAAATATGATAACGGGCCGTAAATATTTCCCTGCTGGACCCTTTCACCTGGGCAAGTTCGGCTACGGAATAAATTTGATCGCGGTCCTACTTATTGCCGTATTCGACATATTCTTCTGTTTTCGTAAGTTGCCGCGATCCTATCGCACGCAATTGACGCTGCTGACCTCGATATCATAGCCTATGAGATACCCACGACCGTCGAGGCCATGAATTTTAATAGCGTCATCCTTGTCGGCACCGTCGCTCTTTCGGCGTTTTGGTGGATGCTCCATGCTACTCGCCATTATCCAGGACCCAAGGTGATGGAGCTTTACATTCACGACGATTCGGCTCCATTGGACAGCACGGGAATAATCGAGAAGACTGATGCGCCTGAGAAGCACCTATCACCAGGGGAATAAATCAAATATTTGAGGCAAGAAAAGTTCAGGAACCCAAATGACGAAACTTGAGGATACGTTGTATACATGTTCACCTAGATCTCTTCGATCACGAACATGAAGTCACAAGCTGTGTGAGCCGTATTTAAAACTTTCGTCGTATCTATCAAGTTTTGGTCCAGGACAGTGAAAAAGGAACAGGATGAAGTCATGTATCAGTTGATTTCTTAGCAGCCGCAATAATTACAGACCGTACATCGGGGCCAAAAGCACTACTACCACAAATAGAGTAAGCTAACAAGCTTAGGTTCGATTCTTGCTTGAATGGGGAATATCGGAGAGCTTCGCGCCGACTTCATTCTTTCCAGATCCGGAAATGCCTATGAGCCTCTTGGCCCGGTAAGGGACAGGCGCCTCTCGCTCCGTGGTTCCATACATTATCAGTCTAGCCTTTCCAAAGTCTAGACCCTATTTAAGTCGATTGCAGCAAGGGTTTTTGATGTACAATCCGAGAAACTGGTGTTGCCCTCCTTGCAAAAATGTACTCAACTACAACTAAATACCCCTGATTCCTCTCAGCAGCCCCAATCGTCACCCTCCTCCTGCACGCCTGGCATTTTATAATTCCGTTCCTCGTTTTTGCCGTGTGGGGAACCCATGGGGTTGATGCTCAGGGTCGCTCGATCTCTAGTTGCAGTGCATCCGTAGAGGCGGACCCGGTCCCAGGATGATTGGCGCGTTCCTGAAATGCCATCGACGAAATTAGAATAGCCTTTCTCCAAACGTATGGATGGAGCGCGATGATCCGCCTTGATCGAGGAGCTACCAGCGCGGAGACAGCCTAGGCATCGGCCAGGCGGCCTTCGAAAAACGTACAAATATCTGATGTCGGTCGATTGCTTTTGTAATGTTTTCTACTACTTGCTGTGACTGCTAGTAGCGAAAGTTCGCGTAGAAGCCAACTTATTTATAGGTAGCCAAGATGAAATATCTCGGAGCCGGACTTCTCTCGCTCATCGGCGCTGTCTCTGCCGAGGGTCAGCTCTGGGGGCAATGCGGTGGCCAGGGCTTTACGGGTGAGACGGCGTGCCCCTCGGGCTCCGTCTGCCAGGTCTCGAACCAATGGTATTCCCAATGCACCCCAAGTAAGTACCTAGGTGTATATAGAGAGAAAGGTGTGGTATTCAGCGTTGACACGGACCCAGGCACGGGCTCAAGCCCCGTTGCGACTCCGGAAACAAGCCCCACACATCCCGTCTCTCCGGCTGCGTCGGGTTTCGCTAAGACGGACGGACTGCTGTTCAACATTGACGGCGTGACCAAGTACTACGCAGGTACCAACAGTTATTGGATTTCCTTCCTGACAAACAACGCCGATGTCGATAAGACACTCGACCAACTACAACAAGCCGGACACAAGATCCTGAGAATCTGGGGCTTCAACGACGTGACGTCCCAGCCCGGATCCGGCACCGTGTACTTCCAGTACC